TAATCTATACTATATTACTAAAAGCAACAAACGACATAGTACATCCATGCTGTATTTGTTCAATAATGTACCAATCACCAACCAGCAGAAAGAATAAATTATCCTAACTCCCTAAGAGGGTAGTCTTTTAGGCTATCAGCAGGGCTGCTAGAAACCTGCAGGCAAGAAAACCATACATACTGTGAGGTTTCAAAATCCCTTACTTGGCTCTGGGGCTTGGTAATAGAATTGGGAAATTCTCACTTCAAAGTTATTAGTTCTACACCAATAGATGTTACCATTTCTCAGCTGCCTTTTTTTTTTGGTGGATGGTAAGAAGGGAGGATGGCAGTCTCAAGACAACTTAAGTTATATTAGTTTCTATATGGAAAAAAAAGAGAGACCATGCCTGCTTTCTAATCACAAGGTAGCCTATGGCCTTCTAGGAACTAAAAATGTTGCTTCCTTTTTTATCATATATCCCATTTAGCTAACACTTCAGGTCATCCATGAGCTATATACATCAATGCCAAGGCTCTGGCTTAGTGGGAAGAACATTACTTCTAGACCTGAGTTCAAATCTCATTTCTGCTATTTACTTTCTATGTCATCTGGGGCAGCTCATTTGACTTTTGGGTCCAAGACCTATATAGAACAAATCTATATAAATGCCAGCTTACCATTTTGCTTCTCCCTTCTCACTCCCCTCCAAATATTACAACAAAAGTTCATTACCCATTCTGCCTAGGGGGAGGATGAATTATTTTCATGAACCTGAAGATTACTCTTAAAGAAATTCAAAATTTACCTGAGCTCAGGAAATCTAATGGTCTTGGAATATAGTGTTAAGCAATCCATTCCTTCAGAAGTTCAAAAATTATTTCATTCGTCTAACCTAACCTAGCACACTGCATCACTTATGCATTTATTCTCAATTTTATACCACAGTTATAATGCTCTATGATGGCAGGGATGAGGTCTTACTGGAAAGAACATTGGACTTCTAAGGTGGGTTCAAATAATGCTTGTGTGACTCTCAATAAATCACTTAACTTTCTGGGCCTCAGTGCTTCTCTGTAAATTGAGACAGTTGGATTAGATGGCCTTTTAGGTCCATTCCAGCTCTGACTCTACGAATCTCTAAGCAGAATTTCTACTTCACTTTCTCCCAGCACCTAGCATAGTTCTTTGTACAGTATTCATTTAATAAAGAATGAACACCCTCCTCCCCCAAATACTCATTTCCTCATCCTCTCTCTCTCTCTCTCTCTCTCTCTCTCTCTCTCTCTCTCTCTCTCTCCCTTCCCCTTCCCTTTTTTTAAAATAAAACTTTATTCCAATACTTAACTTTCTAATTCTATTCTATTACTTTACTTTCATTCAGACAGGAGAACTGTAACAAAGAGGCCAAAAAACACCTATCTTCAATCATTTTCTCTTATCCCCCCTCCCAGCATCCCTGTCTCTTTCTCCACTTAATATCATTTTTTTCTTAGAAATTTGCTTTCCTCAAACTTTATCTACCTTTTCACCATATTATTTATGTAGCATTTCTCATATCTTTGTGAAGCACATCAATGAGAATTGTCAAGGGAAAGTGGTGAACATGCTAGAAGAAAAACTAAGGCAAGATGAAATTTATTGTAGCTATGGTGGTAATATATGAGGAAATACTACAAAGGAGCTGAGTGTGCAATTTATTTTTTGGCAATAAGTGAAAAAACCTTCTTATGATTTCAGTGCATCATATAGGAAAGTGGTAGTATATGTTCAAAGAACTTTTTTTTTTAAATGGCCCCTTAAGGTCTGAGTTTTATTATTTCATCAAATAATAAACACCTTGAGTACAATACCTAATGATCCCATGAAATGCAGACTTTTGACTAACCAAAATCATTATCATATAAGTCACAGTAGAGAACAACTTTAATAATGCTAATTTAGAGCTTTTAAATTGTAAGCACTCTTTCAGATAAGTGCCTCTAGAAAATGCCATTTGTTTCAGTCCACTTACATCTACACATACTTGCCAATTTCATGCTAAAATCAGAAGACCTTAGGAATCCAATCCCTTCATTTTACTAATAAGGAAAACTGAGGTCCAAAGCCATTAATAAGAAGAGTGATTTAGTCCATGATCACCCTTTACATTATTTTTTCACAGGTCTTGACATTCACTCATCGTCCTACACTTTGGAAGAGTAAAGACTTGTTTAGAAAGCTGCAAAAAGCACTCTTAATTTATAAAGGACTCTTCCAGTCCTGGATTTGTTGCACTATAGCACACTAAAACAGAAGACTTAGTTTCTAGTCTTAATTCATCCATTCACTAGCTTTGTAATCATATTTCATTGAGTCTCATAATCTTCCCTTCCCAAACGAGGGACTTATAATAGAGGATCTCCAAGCTCCTTTCTGGATTTAAAACAATCTTCTATAATTCTACAAATTGTGTGAGAATATGCAGTATTATGTGTTTTAATGGTAAACAACTTAACCTACTACTCACTTTCCATGCTTATTTGACTATTCTAAGGTAGCACCTACAAAATACAATGTAGGATGATAATTTGGTATTTATTCCATAAATCTGTGTTTAACCAAAACTTGATCATTTTGGCCTGAATTTGTACATCAAATTATTCTGAATATGAAGACACATTGCCCAGATGCTAGGGCACATAGACATGTATAAGCACATACAAAGACACAAGAAGAAAACAACTTCTTTTAACCTGCATGCAAATAACCAACTCCAGCCTCCAAGTATTATAGGTCTTTCTCAACCCTAATACGTGTAAAAGTTGATTTGACAGTTCCAATGACAACTTTTACAACAAAAATACCCTACACATTTAAAGATTTTTCTATTCAGAGTGCCGTTTTTCAATTTTAGCTTAGTCTCTCTGATGTCTGAATGAGGCATCAACATACCACCAACTGATTCGTGGATGCACCTATATGCCAACAATTGATGATGAAACAGTCTAGTTAGAAAACAGGAGCCAGGTATATCCACACTATTTGAACAGCAAAGGATAACTTGTTTTAGAAACTATATGAGACAAGTACTCAAAGTATCATAAGTAATTCCATCAGTAAATATACCTCAACTCTTGGAAATAGACTTGACAATGAACCCTCCAAATAGCTACTAATTTCATTAATATTGCCTAATCGTTCTTAAACACTTCAAGGTCCTAAAAATAACTAAATATTATATGACGATCAGTCTGTGGGCAAAGGGCTATTCATATTCAAAGAAGCATCCTCTCTAAATTCCAACATACTTGTCAAAATTACTTACACTGATTCAGAATGACTACTGAAGTGAATTTTTTTAACTACACAGTTCATTTAGGTGAACTGAATGGTTTTCATCTTGATTGATGTTAATGAAAAAAATTGGATTTTGTATAATGGAATAGATTTAGTAATGAAAGTAAACTCTAACCAAAATTCATTTGGGACACTTAAAACTGACCCACCTCAAAAAGGGTAAGTTACTTCAAATCATTTTTTCAAGTGTTCTACATAGATTGAGATCTAGAAGACTGAACACTTGGAATATCTAATTTTCTAGCACTTGAGAGCAAAGTCATCAGTTTTCACCTTTGTAAAATGAGGAGACTGGACTATGAGTCTTTTCCAGTTTCTAACTTTATGAAACATCATGGAGATTAAATATAATAGAAAGGGATGAAATTAATAAGTAGCTCCAGAAAAAATAACCTGTGTACTCCTGCTTCTGGACAGGGAATAAACCACAATACTGTAGCTCTAGGATGTATTTCTGACAGATTGACAAAACTGGATATGATGTGAAGTCTACAAAATCTATAAAAATTTTATGAAAAATCTATAAAAAGATTTGGTTGTCAAACGGATTCCAACTGCAGTTTAACTGGAAGCTGACATTTTAAAATCCACAGAAATCATATGCATATGAGTTTAACATAAAAGGGGAAAAAGAGAAATAACTTTGAATTGATGCATTACAGAAAATGCATCCCTGGGAGTCTCAGTATTTTCATTTCTAAAATAAGAAGGTTGATCTCAAGGGTCCTTTCCATGTCTGACTAGGAAAGATCTTCCTAGATATTTAAATTTACATTACTTTAAAATAGAGACAGTTTGAATCATCATTTGTAACTTTAGGATAACGTTATAACTCCAATTGGACTTGATTTCAAAAAGGAAGGCTGATGGTTGAGCTCACTTGAAACCAACGACTCACTCACCTCCCTACAGCATTTGCCATAACGTGAATATTGATCTCTTGAAATAGTTGTCAATAAATGAAATGGTTCTCTCTCCTCCCACCCCATCCTCATCCTCACTGCTCATAACTTTTAAATTTTAACCTTAGTTCCATCTCTAGTCAAAAGGTGCTTTTGTAGAAGGATTCCTGGCTCTATACATTCAGAGGCAGACATCACCCTCCAGCGTTTGGATGAGACTCCCTACGCTGGTTAGAGATTATTAGTAGAAACTTGTCATTTTGACTTCGCTTCTGCTCACCCAGGAAAATTTCTATTCTTCCTTTCCCCATTACACGCCTGCTTAGACTGTATCTTCTACAAACGCGAACTGCCCTTAAGGTCAAGACCTCTGCCTTGTTAGGACACCAGAGGACCAGCACGTACGATCAAGTTGCTTGAGTCTGACTCTGCCGTAGCTCTGTGGGCCAGGCTGCAAACACAACATGATGTGATCCAATCTCTGCGTTTTGTGAATGGCTAGCTATGACAGCCTCTGCCTGCCATAAGGGATCAAACGCTCCTGCCTCTGCTAGCAGACTAGTAAAAGGGATCACTTTTCTGGAAATACTTTGGTGTTTTAAAGGCGAATAAAAACAAAGCCCCCTTATGTTTAATACGTTTTCATAAAGTCCCCCTGCCCAATGGGCAGGCACGCACACTTACACACGCGCATAAACACACACGCCCCAGACCTCTCTCAGAAGTAAACACCGGAGAGGGGAGAAGGCAAGGCACACAGCGCCTGTTGCTGCACCTCACCTTCTGCTGTCTCCGGGCCATATCGGTGGGCTGCTTGGCGTTGAACGGGTACGCGATGCACCTCACCACAAAGACATAGAGCTGCAGGCGGATGCGCTTCTCGTTTTCCTCCTGTTGCTGCCGCTCCAGCTCCTCTCGCCCCTCGCTCAGCACCGAGGGGCTCGGGCTGACAGGTCTGGCGGTGGTGCCGCAGCCCGGGCGCCCCGGAGGGTCCCGCCGCCCTTCCCGGGGAGGAGCTGCGGGCAGGCTTCGCTGGGAGCCACCGGCCGCCACCAGCACATCGCGTCTCTCCTCTTCTACCCCTTCGTCCGACTCCTCTTCGCTGGAAGACGGGTCCAGCATGATGTCCGGGTGCCGTCCTCACCTCGCAAGCTCCTGAGCCCTCGGGTCCGGGAAGGCAAACCTGCGCTGGCTGGAGAACGAAAGGGAAACTGGTCACAGCTTTCCGGACACGTCGAGTTTAGGCACCAGACTGTTTCCTACCACCAGGGCGAAAGGGGCGGGCAGGAGTTGGGGGGGGGGAGAAGAGGAGGAAAAAATAGTGAGGCACCAGAGCGAGAGGGAATGACTAGGCGGGGTTTGCGAAGGGGGAAGTCGAGCCTGGTTGCCTTGGGAATTGTTCCTGCAGAGGTCCTTAGCCCCCCCAGCCTAGTTGATGAGCGGCCCAGGAAGCCAGCCCTGGTCGCAGGTGGGGAACCTGTAACGCCTACAACAAGCAACACGTGGAATGGAATGTTAAGGAGCGCGGAGCTGGAGGGGGAGGAGAGGGGTCCGGGGAGGAAGGAATGCGCGCGCGCCGCATTCCCAAGTGCGCGCCGTTTGTAACCTTGACTAACTGGCTAGTTTAGGGAAAATCACCGGGCTGAGACCTGGAGCTGTGCTCGCGGCTCCAGCTGGAGGACACTCTGGGCCTGGCAGTCCTCTCTGCTTTGCCAGTTTCCCTAGAGTGCCCTGTACAGGGCTGGCCGAGGTGCAGGTACTGAACTAGGGAAGCAGCTACAGCCGGACGCTCCCCGCCCCCACCCCCACCCCCTCAGGTGCCCAGTTGTGGCAGCCCTAATGAGGCCTCTCACCTGCACCTGCACCCGCGGGGTGCCCACTCACCCCGCGGCGGAAGCCTGGACTGACCCGCTATTGGAGTTTGTTTTTGCACATGAACAGAGCTTTTCCCGTTGCGTATTGACATTTTAGACTTTTAAGGAGTCCCTCTGCGGTTAAAAACTTACCCTGAGGCCCAAGCCACTCTACCCACAGGGCTAGCTAGCAGCGTCTGAAAGATACTGCCGCCCGCCCCCCCCCCGTTTTTTTATCTGCTATTTTCTACCTCAGAAAGATTGCCAAGATGGGTTTTTTTAATTTCAAAATGGAACTCCAATTTAGCTCGGACATGTCTGGATTACTTGAGGAGTTGAAGTGAGAGTATTAGAAACAAGGCGTAATGTTCTGAGCAAACCTTAGACCTCAAACCAGAAGATAGGATGCCACCTCGGCTACTTACTGCCACTCGGGCACAGTTTGACTTAGGTAAGATTAAAAGTGTTAATGATCTGTGTGGAACTTTAAAACTCTATAAATCCTATGACCTATTCTATGATGTAATTTCACATAGGGGCCTCAGTTTCCTCATCTGTAAAATGGGGAGGGGTGGTGATTGCGCTAGATAAAAATAAATTAAGATCTTACAGAGACTTTAGATATTATGAGATCACCCCCACCCACCCCGTTTTACAGATGAAGGAACTGAAGCTCAGCAGAGTAAGGTGACTTGCCCAGGGTCAATAGGTGAGGCCAAATTTGTAGACACTCTACTCCAAGTGTAGTGTTCTGTGTATTCACTATACTATGCTTCCTTTTAGATGAGCTCTAAATCGCCTGCTCTTATGATTCCAAACAGTTTATTTAACAGTTAGGCTAGGACTGATATTGGTGGAGCTTTTCTCACTGTTTTTCCTCCTCCTTAGTTGGATTGTTTCTAAGCTGCAACCAAAGCCTACCCTGCTAACCTTTTCCACTCCAGTATTCAAGTATGTAGTATTGGAGGTTTCTCTAGTGGTTCTATAATCCAATTCCTTAGTACCCTTGGAAAAGGAAGGAAAGCAAAGGTACTGAACTGCAGCTAAACTGCAACACAGTATGGAGGTGAGGCTAAGAAGAGCTGAAATTAAGGAAAAGATTGTATTACCAGAACTGATGGGATATATTCCTGTCTTCAAAAGCAACTTCTACTTTTCCAGGCTTCTCCTACTCCTTTCAGGTACACATTTGCAGATCTTTATTTCACTTCTAGACTAAATAACATTTTTCTGGGTGACATGTCTTTACAAGATGCTTACTTCTGTCTTGTCATCTGTGTGGAAGGAGAGAGTGACAAGAAACAGACACTTGAGGCGTAAGCATAGAGATTTTCTTATCCAACTTTCTTTAATACTCCTCCTTTTCCCTGATTTGCTACAATCTTTCACATATTCATTCTTTTGGCTTATACAAAATATAATCTTTTCTTTGTCTTCCCACTATGTCCATAAAAACTAGATATCTAAATCTACTTAAGATACCTAGCAATGATAGATCATAGATTATTTGCAAATGTAAAGAGTACCAAAGTATAATCTGGAGACGCTAGTGGGTGTTGAAAAAGAACTTAGGATACTCAGTTTTCCATGTGTTAATTTTCAACACAATCTACTTTATTTGTACCTTTTGATGACTTACAAATCCTAAAAAATGACCTAACTACAGTTTGTTTGTATGGGGTGGGGTATGATTTGAATAAATTAATAGTAGCAGAAAGTCTTATTGACTTCTTACTAATTCATAACATATCATGGTATAATTAATATTTCTTGTGCTGTTTTAGTATTCATAATTTTAAGTGTATGACTTCTAGAGAATTATGGGTAAATTTTTAAAGTTCCAAATTAATTGTCATTGCCAACTAAAGGTCCACTTTTCCTTACAGTCAATATATCAAAATACTGACCCATTCTGGATTTCCCACTCCCAAAAAAGTTATCAGATCCATGATTTTTCAAGATTCTATTGTATTTAAGCTTTGGTGATTCTTTTTAGAATAATAATGAAATTTTGAGTCACATTAACTTATTTTTTTCTCTTAAAAACTGAGAATTTGGGGCTAATCATTCAAAAGTTGTAGCTAAAAGTAAAAAAAAACAGAATACTGGAAAAATCATTTTTGGGAAATTTATGACTTTAAATTGAGGCAGAAGTGTTAAATCCCAAGTAATTTTTCAATGTACATATTTTCCATTGATAATACTGTAAACACAATGCTCTTTGCCTCTATGTAGTTGTATTTGATATGTATCTTCTTTGTATTTTAACTCCTTCTATCCCTTAGATCAGTATTTGGTACATTGATTCAATAGTTCATTAAATGATATCCTATGTTCGGAATCAAGATTTACTTTGTTAATTGCTTCGCACCTTTTCATAGCTGTATGAGATCCATTTGACCTTGTTCCATGATTCATTTTTAGTTTTGTCAAGGTGAACATAAAAATAAATTAAATTTATAGTGTTTTAATGAAACACTTCTGATGTTAAGATAGGTGCATGAAATAAAAATACATTATAATTTTTCATTTTCTGTAATGATAGTTGAGGAAATAGAGAGCTGAATACAAATAAATAGGGAGTTTCCAAGGTGAGAACTGCTTTGTGTATTTGGTATGGAAAGGATGCATTTACTTTCTTAAGCCACCAGGGGACCATTTAGTGGTCTTGCATGGTAATTTGCTAAATAGGCCCTTGGTGTTTTAAAAGAGCTTGAGTCCTATACACTCCTAGGGAGTACTATAATACATTATATACTAGGAGAATCTGGTTCCATTTTCTAGACTTTCAGATAGGTGCCATTGCATTGGGATTCTATTTAGATTTTGTAGTGCTGTAGAAAAAACACTAGTTCTGGATCCAAATCCCAGTTCTCCAGTTATTGCCACTCATATGACCTTGGACAAGTTCCTTGGCCTCCATAGATCTCAATTTCCTCATCTGGAAAATGAGTATATTGGACTTAGTGGTCCCAAGGTCCGTTAAAGCTTTTGATTTCTGATCGCATAAGTTCTCCCTGACTGTGGCCTTTTTTTAAAGTATAGCTTACATAGTTGCTTATTACAGCTGGTAACAAACACTTTCTTATGGCAAATGGATGGGCAGATTTTTCATTTTGATTAAAATTGCTAACCCAAAAACCCTATTTAGAAAGGAAGAATGCATTTACAAGAGAAAAGGGAAGAAGAAGAAAGACTACAAACAGCCTAAATCTCTTGCCATTTTCTTAAAATGAATATTTATAAGATAAGAAAAAGAAACCTGGCAATCTGCTTCTAATCCTTGCATCTTCTCTTTCCCGTTGCTCCTCTCTTGTTGGTTAGAGCCAGCTGCCTGGAATCTGAATCCTAGCCAGGCATTTGGTCTGGAACCCCATCTATTGCCATTGTAGGGAACTGGGGAGAAGTTTTATGGGCATACATACTCAGATGAGCAGATTTGAGGTGGTTTATAGTGGATGCATACATGCAGGGAAGAAGGGTGAGGTGGGGAGGGAAGATCCACAGAATACTTTTCTAACTGTGAATTGTATAGGTAGGGGTTGTTGTCATGCCCACCCAGGTTATACTTTTAGTTGGTGGTTCTGTAGCATTTTATGTTTATTTCTGAAATTACTTGCTTTAAAGATGATCTAAAACTTGTCACTTAAATAGTTTTAGATTTTCATGTAATTGCCAAGGGTTTGTTGTCTTTTCTTAACTCCTGTATCTTTACTAATTTGTTAATTATTATTTTATTGGTCCTTAATTTTGTATGTTCAGCGGTTTAGAAAGTTAAGAATAAAAAAGGAAGACTGGGAAAGGGAAAATATATTGAGAGTGGCATATCCTAGGTCTCCAAGAAATCTGATTCAATTCAGTATTTTTAAAAATTTGCTCCGGCATTTGGGATACAAAGATGAAAAATAACATAACATCTGCCTTTAAGTAACTTCTGTTCTAATTGGAAGCAGAGAAGAAAAGACACGTGAACTGGGTGTCTTAAAAGTCTTAGTGTAGTTTTAAGTTGCCAAAGTTGAAAACTTTGGGATACTCCTTGTAAATATTATAGTGACTAATAAGAGCAAATGAGGAATGAAGACCAAAGCACAATAAGAAATTGTATTAAGGAAACATCACTTTCAGCTAAGGGTAGGGTCTGACTATCACAGAAGGCTTTATGCAGGAGGTAATAGTACTTGAACCAGGCCTTGAAGAAAAAGACTTCAGTAGGCCCAGATGTGGAGAAGTCCAAGTGTAAGTGAAGGGCTGCTTAAAGCCATACCAGATAAGGCAGGATAAGGTCAAAGAAGAGATAGTCAATCACAAAAGTACTTATTAAGCACCTGCTGTGTGGCAGGTACTGTGCTAAATACTGGGGATA